TTTATTAAAATATTGAAAACAGCTGCTTCTCTAGTTAATATTTTGAGTTCTTATATTTTCTTATTCAAAGAGTCAGGCAACTGAGGACTTGAATAGATGCATCCTTTTGATTCTAATGCTTTTTAGAATTAAATAAATGAAAAAGATGAGGTAACACGGAAGCATACTACAAGAATGGCACTTTATAATGAATAGATGCGATTGTCTCTTTGTGTGTAGTTATGCAGTCTTCATTATTCATTAAAGAATAGCACCTTACTTTTTATTTCTTCATTCAGTGCTGAAATACAATAACATAAATATAGAAATTCATGTATCAGGAAATTGGTTTGTGGTCTTTTTTAATAATAGGTTGTTTTGAAAGTTGCTCAGAAGTTAAGAAAGCTATTTGAGCTAATGGCATCAAATTGAAGAGGAGAGTACAGGAAAGGAAGAGATACATAAAGAGTATTTCATATGTCTTTCCAAAATGTATATTGTAAGGACTTCAGGATGTCCCCCAAAAAATATGGTAATGGCTATAACCACTCCTAAATAATTTTCTCTACTACACAAACTGCATGCTTAAAAGCCAGATATGCAAATATAATGTACAATTTGTAGAGAACATACAATTTGTATGGATAAGGTCTCTGTGAGGTTAAACCCCAAATATAATCTCATTTTAAAATAAATTCAGTTGATATCCAAGTTATTTTGAAGATAGCTTAATCATAGCTGTCTTATAGATTTGAAAAATAGCTTTACAAACTTTTTTCATTAAAGTTGATTGAAAAAAATGCATAGCAGATGTAAAATTGTTTCTGCAGATTATCAAATGAATGTATTAATTATAGTTTTAAGTCACATGATGATGGTGTTATAATTTGAAAAATGTCATGGGATCACAGAGAAAGAGAATGGCTGAAAAAGCTTTCTATGAATACTATAAATGAGCAAATAGCACATAGTATCAGCAGTTCATGAGTGAACTTGCATCATTAATAATTGATATAACATCCCCATTTTAATGAAAATCTGGTGGAAAATTGGCAAAAATAGGTTCAGCAAGTCAGTTTTATATTATTGTAACAGACCTGTGCCTCAGACCACAAGTTTTTACCAATAAATTTTAAATGCCTCAAAAAGAAACATATAATACCAGCTATCTTACTCAGAGGAAAATGGTAGGGAGACCTAGAGGCAAGCAGTCATCTAATCAAACAGTTTATACCTATATGCACAGCAAACCTAAAAAAGATTCAGCAATAGTCGTTTCAAGATGAAATACTTCAAACACCAAAGAAGACAAGGGAATCTTTTTTTTTCAACCTAGCTAGCATGTGAAAAAGTAGAATAGTTGGCTGTACAAACTACCTGATACCTAGCAATAATAACATAATAATGCTGCTAGCAATAATATCAGAGCAACCAAAGGGACCAGAATAACATCTAGTACTAAAGCTTTTCCATCCTTCAGGTGAATGAAATGAAAACTGGCAGAACCAGACTACAACGTGAGTAGAGGCACTCCATAGGTGCTAGCTGTTATACCTGGCTCCCCAAACTGCTGGATGCCAAAGATAATGCACTCTCCTTATGAATGAGAATAGCCTGAAAAATTTAGAGCCCACTGGTTTCCTGTCCCTTATCCTCAGATCATTTTAATCTACACGCGGGAAACAAAGCAATTGTTTTTCAGCGATTCAAATCCTGCCCTGCATCCTGTTCACAGCAAATGGCATCACTTCATACTTATCACTAGCGAAATAAATGAAATATCAGCTAGCTTTGTGTGATTTACAATACAAATTAAACTGGATCATTTTAATGTTTCCAAAGTATAGAGAGTCAGGACATGGCCAACACTTCACATGGACTTATTGGCCCAAAAGGAGAAATTTGGAAGTCTACGTTCAATTTTAGTAGCTACAACCTAGCTGAAAAGGCAGTCTCATTAGCGTGGCCTGAGGATTCTATTTCCCAGCCTTGTGACTTTTTCATGGCAAGCAAAGACCATGGCAAATATTTAGGCAGTGTTTATGCTGTACTAGTAGTAGCTAAAATGGGTATTTTTAAGAAAAAATCTAATTTAGAAAAGTGTTTTGAGATGGTGTAGTGCCTCTAGTACTTTGCTATACAGAAGACTATTTGAGATATTCAGAATAGAAATGTTCTTTTATTGCCTTTTATAGTTGCTATTCTGTTTGTTTTACTTAACTCAGTAGGCCAAGACTCTCCAACTAGTAGCCCATGGATGACATATAGTCCATAGGCCCTGGCAGCCACCACTCCCTCTGATTCATGGAAGAGCAGGGGTTGGGGGTCCATGCATCTCTTGAGCAGCTCACAGACAGTGGGGCCACGTGCTGCCAGCAGAGGGTGGAGGCTGTTGTGCACTGGCAGATCTCATGCAGGGAGTGGAGGCTGGGGGTTTGAATGCTGGCAGCAGATCCCATGGTGGGAGGGTGCATGATACCGGCAGGGGGCCGAGGGGCCACATACCACTGGGGGAGCTTGTGTGTGTGGAAGAGGGATATGTGCAGTAGAGGGGCTGCAGGGTGCCGCCTTAGCCATGTGTGGTCCCATGGGCTACACACCAGTGCCTCCTGTGGCCCCCTGATACAGCATGGTTAGACAGCCCTGTACTAGACGTTTTGGCTTTGCCTTTTATTTTCTTATTGTGAAGTACACGAATTAGGCAACCTAATATATGTATTTGCATTCATGGTAAACAGACTATTCCTTGGGGAGTTGTTTTCTTGTCAGTTCAAAGACTGCTTTATTAGAATTCAAAATTGTAACTGGTATGGGCTCTAGGGGGAAAAAAACAAAAGTTAAGAATTTCCCCTTTAATGGGTCAACTTCTGCTGAATTGCACCAGCATAAATCAGGGTATTCTGCTAACTCCAGTGGAGTTACTCCTTATTTACAAACATAAATGAGAAGAGAATTGGTCCTTCCCAGACATATAGATCTAACTTGGTAAGAAATTCTAACTTATAATTCCATGTTTCTTTGTGGCTGCGGCTCTCAGCTGGAATCTCCTATTATCTTGCATTTTTCATGTAGCTCTGAATTTGTATCAAAGGCAGGCACTTCAAAGTCAGCTAGAGTGAAATTTCCTTTAACACTTAGATTTTGCTTAGCTGCCTGTAAATGTGTCATGAATGTCCCAATTAAATATACAGAGAGATGTCATTCAAGTGTCATTTTGGGAAATGATATAGGTTGTGACTAACTACAAAAGCAGAAGTAAAGCTTAGTGTTTTTTAATGTTTTTAGCCCCTTTGAATGTTTTGTGTATGTGTTGCAGTTATTAATTGCTTCTCTTATCTACCTCTTCCTATCAAAAATTATATATATTTATAATGATTAATTGGTCAATGCCTTCCACACCAGAGTAAATAGAGTTAATTGACTTTGTTCTGGATTTACAGTGCAAATGAGATCTGATTCTGGATCAGCATTTTAAATTTAGGGATGAGGAACAATGTAGTTTGTGACAGATATATGACAAAAATAAGACAGTTTCCCAGCTATTCCAGATTTGCAGGGACCTTGCTGTTTTCCAGCTGTTTACCCTTGAAATGTAAAATGGCAATTTGACACAAACCAACAACACAGTGTGATGTGAGCATCTGCGTAAAAGGCTGTACATATGGAGCATGCCCAGTGATGTAAAAAGCCGGTTACCCCACCCCCATCCAATCTAGGAAGAGATGAAATGAACTTTGCACTTGCAAATGTCACTGAATACATTTTGCACAGGATTTTAAAAGGTTCTCCTATATAAGCACTATTTTTAACAGCCAAAAAAAAATCCAACACAGACATTTTCCTGTGCTCAGTCTGCTCAATTTAATGAGTTGAACCGTCTCTTACAAAATACCTGAAGTCTGGTTTATTTTTTATTATGAGATCCTTTTTTCCCACTGGCATGGGAAAATTTAATCATTAGAATACTTCATAACAGGGAGACTGAAAGAGTGAAAGGCAGAGAGAAGAGAAGGAAGGAGCTTGCAGCAGAGTATGGATAGGAAAGGAGCTGTGATTCTGCAGTGCTCAGTGTGCACATGTTTTATGAGAGCCAGTGCCGGGCGCTGCAGCTGCGGACAATAACTGAGCTGTCTGGCTAATGAAGGCCACCTGGATCAGGCTTCTGAAAAGAGCCAAAGGAGGACGGCTGAAGAATTCTGATATCTGTGTAAGCCCTATGTTTTCATTGTTGGCATATATATATATGTGTATGTTACAGTGAAGGGAAGAAAATTGCTTTCCTTCTGATTGAATTAGCAGAACCCCTTTTTTTTGATTGCAAGGAGAGAGAGAAAAATCAGAGCTGTCATTATTTACAGAGCTGTTTTGGTATTGTGACTAGTTTAATTGCAGCAGGGCTTGGACATGTGTGGAGTGGAGACCTATTTTAGTTGGAACTTGATTTGTGGTCATTTACGTGTTTTTCCTGAAGGGCTGAAATTGATTTGAGCCATGTTCATTTCTGATGGGGAGTGTGTGTCAGGTGAAAAGGTGCCCTGAAATAAAAATGGAGGGCATGGATTAAATCTGTCTGCAGTGATATTGTGTAACGGTAATTGTAAATACGGAGTCTGAATTTTTCTATTGAATATGGTTTTTTTACTAGTAATAAAATGCTCTTGTTAAAGGTTTTGATTTTTATGGAGCTGTCCTTGAAACTGGTATGTCCTTCAACCCTGCACTGCACCAGTCCTGTAACTCTGCACAGAAACTAGCTGTGCTTACTAAAAAGCATTCTCATCAGAATGGGGGGATATGGCAGGAAATAAAGCACCAAAGAGCCACCTGCCCTTTTGGATGATCTCCAAAGCAAAATAGCAACTTGCTCAATATTTTTCTTCCTGCTTCTCACTTGTGTACAATTCTGTTTCTTGTAAAAGATTTTATCAAAGTATGCTCAAAGGCAAGCCAGAGGAACCTTTCTCATTTTTATTGCAAACACCGCAACACCTCGTAATATTATTTCTCCTTTTCCTGTTCAGGGTTCGGCGGACTCCTACACCAGCCGTCCATCCGATTCAGATGTATCTCTGGAGGAAGACAGGGAGGCAGTGCGGAGAGAGGCAGAGCGACAGGCCCAGGCACAGCTGGAAAAGGCGAAGGTAAGGCGCTTCTTCAGATACCGGGGGCATAAATATGTTCCTTTTTTAAAAGTTTGTTTCAGTCAGTTAGTTTTTAGAAACGCAGTACGTGATCTTGTGTGGATTTTTCAGCCGTCTTGACAAAATATTCTTATTAAAAAAAACCCGAAACAAAACACTGAAGTAAGAATTTGCCACTGAAGACACTACAAACTGATTTGTATGTTTTGGAAGAACCAGGGTGCCTTGCAAACAGATCTGTACTAGATTTTGTATTTGTTATATAAGTTCATTGACATGAATTGCCAGTAAATAATGAAAGATCTTGGAGTTAAAGTCAGCAGTAAGATTTTTGTTGGGGGAAGATTTGGTCCCATAATTCAAGTGTACCTACAAACCTAGAAATAAGATGTCAGATCTCCAAGTAATTACCCCTTGATGCAGGATTGTTCCCCACATGGTGTGTGCATGCGAAAAGTCTGCTTACAGAGATCAGTTTTTTTCAGATTATTTCACTGGTCTCATTTATACGTACTAATATAGGATCAGCCAGGATTTAGAAGTCCATGGTGAGGAATAAGTTTGAGAACCCTGTGAACATTATGCTGTCTGCTCCTGGCAGGCAGTGGCAAAGTAATAAACTAACTGAGGTTCAGATCCCACCGTATGCTCTTTTAACTAAGAGATGTGAGGTTATGTTACAGATGCGTGCACACTGTTGAATTTCACCTGTCTCTTCACTGTATTTTGCCATATGTATTATACAAATACAAAAAAATTATCTCATTAATATATTAAAATCACTTCACTTCATTTTTTCTTTCTTTGTGTTATATACCAGGTCTTGGATCATCAAGGTCTATTTTTTTTCACTTTTATATTTTCTGTCTTATTCAAATACGGGTCTAAGATGTCTCCAGGCATATAATCTTTTTTTTTTCTCCGTGTGCTAGCTCTCCTTCTCACTTGGTTTTTTGCTCTCTTCCATTTTTCTGTGTTTCTTCTTTCTCATTAGCTCTATGTTCCATCTGTCTCCTCTCCTACTTTCTCTGTTTCTCTTTCCATTCATCTTTGTCTGTTCATTTAGTTTTACAAAGGAATCTAGGATTCAGATAATTGAGATTCACTTTCTTATGATGAACAGATTAGTGTGGTAATGAGGTCTTACCAAGGTGCACAAAGAAACAGCCAGCTTCCTATGTGCACCTTGGTAAGACCTCATTACCACACTAATGGAAGGGAAACTTCACCAGCAGAACCTACAAGGATCCTATGTGTGCACCTCAGTCAATGAGAAAAGTAAGAAGAGTTATCAAGTGTTAGAGAAATATAATTAATGTTAAAAGATACCTCATCTAAGCTTCTAAACCACTCTTTCTGCTGTTACCTAACATACAGGGGGATACCAAACTTCTCTCCCCCACCCAAAACTTGTTGTCCTTGTAGGATCTGCTGGTGAAGTTTCCCTTCCATAGGAAAAGCATTACAGAAGCTGTCTAGGGATGTTGCTGATCTTTGGATAATAGGAAGAATGGTTAACCAGAGTTTAGAATGTCAGGGCTGCTCAGTGCTAGTTTAATATTAGTTTGTTTTAAGAGACAGTAGATGATTTTTGCTGGAAAATAAAAGTAAATATTTTATCAGGGTTATCAGTAAAAAAAAACCCTAATGTTTAAAGGAAGAGATCAAGTAATAACATCTAGAAAAATAAGACTAGTATTATAGCACTCACAGCTGAGCTGATGCATCTCTTAGTGATGAGTAAATCTATGTGAGTGTTGCTATGGGAATTTGGCTTAGTGATGCTGGCTTGAATGCATGGACAGTCCTTATGTAATATTCATGACCTCTAGCACAGCTGCCATAGCAGCTTACAGAGAAACTGCCAGCAGACCTTGACTTTTTAAAACTGTATTTCCATACATCAAAACAAAGTTCTCACTTCAGTTGGCAGAGGGATAGTCCCCAGGTCTGACACTGTCTCTAACTGTGAGACAGTTTACAAACAAAAGTAGTGAAGGAATTACCACAGTCAAACTCGTATAACAATGTGGTTTTAGTCGTATGAAAAACATACAAAGTAATGTTTTAAATAATTTCTGCATTAAAATGGATTTAAACAAGCACAGGAGAAGCAGTGTGTTGCTTGAGCCAAAGGGTTTTAAAAATAACAGTTGCAGTGGTGATGGGATGAAGGACAGAAATGATTTTAGGTGTGTGTTGGCTGATATTTAAATTCATCTAGATTACATAATATGTGTTGCTTGCTTTTTACAAGCTATTTCCAGAGACAGTTACCAGATTAAACTTAATTTGAATTCACTGCCTCTGAAATATAGGATATATTTTGCTACTTTCATTTATGGATCAATTGTTCACCTTAGTGATACATAATAAAATTAATGAAACAGTACCATGGGTTCACAGGATTTCACTCTTCACTGCACCAAACTGCAAACGGTGGATTGTTTTCTAGTGTCTGTCTCCCTTTTGTCTTAATATGCCATCAGTCAGAACCAAGTGTCGCAGCTGCATTTAACTTTTTCCTCTCTTTTTTTAATATGTGAGTGAAAACATTGATCCTAAATAAAATAATGAGAATTATATTTGCCGTACATATTAGTGAAGATGACTTACATGAATAATTCAGAGGCTGACAGAAAATGACAGGCTGAAGAGTAGACATAAAAGCATAGAAGTGTTTCATGCACTTAGTGGAAACAGTTTGATATCTATTTTCCTTTTTTGCTGTTCAGGAAAACACCTTAAAACTGGAGAAGGAGGTGTATCCACAAGATATATGATGGCACATAGCAGCTTTGGATTTTGAATTAGGTAGATTGAGACTGTGTGCTGGTTAAATTGAATCGAATATGGCAGATTGCAAACTGAAATAGGGGAAATGTAACAAGCTAATAGTTTTGCCTTAAACATCCAATCTATTAACAAGGATTAGTACTGCTGGGAAACGGTTAAGTTCATTATGCTGAGTCACTGTGGGTGCATCTACACATGCAAGTAATGCTATGTGATAAACTCTGGCACAGCCCATGCCAGAGAAAACTGCTCCTGGGCGCAGTGTTTACACATGTACCTGGGACTGCAGCACCCTAAACTAGGGTGGAGCATCCCAGGCTGGCAGAGGGCACGGGGAGTCAGCCCCAGGCTCTGGGTGGCAGTGGAGGACAGCAGAGGGGCTGACTAGGGCACAAGGGTGGTACAGTGCACGGCTAGGCGGCAGATAGCCCCCAGACTGTAGCACCCTCATGCCCGAGCCAGCCCCTGTCACCATCTACACATTCATTTCAGTGCATGTAATGACTCCTTGTGGCACGTTTCATTAACCTGACTTTGATGGAAGGTGAGGCCATGGCCATACAAACAGAGGGTATGTGCAGATGTTACACTTAGATTGATCTAACTAGGGTTAAGCCCGTCTAAGTGCCAATCTGTACATACATTCAGGGAGGTTAGATCAGGAAAAAAAAATGACCAGCCTGATCTAATTTAGCTCACCTGAGACAGAGGCGACTGCTAGGGGAGGAGTGGGGGAGGCACGTTTCCCCCCCTCCCCGAGATTGGCCCTTGACTCTGCATCACTCAGAACAGGGCACTGTTTTTGCTGCATGGATTGGCAGCATGTTGGCGGGGGAGCACTAAGCTGCGACACAAAAGTATAGGAGTGGATATGGAGCTTTTGGCCCACCCACAAATTGTGCCCCCCCAGACTCAGGAGGCACCAGTCACCCCTGACCTGAGAGGTGCACTAATGTAGATTGGGAAGCAGCCACTTTTCCTAGCTCTAGGTCTGCACTTTTCCTATCCACCCTCCCCCTGTTGAGCCCCAGCTCAAGTCTGGGATCGTGCCCGGTATGCAAAGGCCAATAAAGATAGCAGGGGTGAAAGTACAAAGAAGGCTTATTGCTAGCAATAAAAGGTGCGAGTGGAATAATTTCACGTAACAAGCACCCCGATCACTATATCTAAGCATCTTTTATACAGGAGTTTTCAAGTTTTCACCAACGTGCTTGTTTGCTGATTGGTTGTAAGGAGTGACGCAAGGAGTTCTTTACTGAGCATGTCTCTATACCTGTGTTTTAGCTATGTATCTCATTTACATACATGTGTGTTTCATTAGCATACTTCTTCCCCACCTAGGGGCGTGATTTTTAGTATTTTAATGAGCCCTTTAACCCAGTACTCTGCTTCTGCTTTTGTTTTCAAGCCCCCTTTATCTAGGACTGTCTCCTCCTTATCATTGCAGATGGGCATTTTTCACATAGCATTCTCTTCTGCTTCATCTTTGAGTAGAGGCTTCTAGGTCACTCCTTACACCTCCAACTCCAACCAGGCTACTGTTAGCCCCCTGACTTCTCTCCACCCTGAGACAGATGACTCGCCACCCCCCCTCCCCATTCAATCCCATGAACACTCCCCATGGACCTGCCCACCCTTCCCCCACCCCACCTTATTCAGTGTTCCCAGTATGGCTTCTGGCACCAGCAAAGCTGTGCACAACTGGGACCCAAACTATGATCACATGCATGATCATAGATCAGGTCCCAGGAATGTCTGCACGTGGCCAGTGTTACTTCAAGACAGAGAAACTCAATGCACAAGCCTTCAAGCTTTGGAGCACCAACTTGCAATAGAGTCAGAGGAAGAAATTACCTTGTTCTATGAAAAAACACCCTGAATTGAAACTGGGGTAGATTTTCTTGGGTTTGATAGAGTTACCTTAGTTGAAGGAGTTGCACCAGATCATAGAATCATAGAAGTAGGGTCGGAAGGGACCTTGTAGATCTTCAAGTCCAACCCCCTGCCTGGGCAGGAGGAAAACTGGGCTCAATTGACCCCAATCAGGTAGGCATCAAGCAGCTTCTTAAAGACCCCCAGGGTAGGTGGATCGCTATCACCCAGCTGATTGCAACTGTTTTGTTTTCTTAGGGCACTGGAGTTTTCTAGGCTAGCCTGTCCACAGTCTGAAAGTTACGTAGGTGAGAGATGGCCTGGCATGTTCC